CAGCTTAAGGTGTTTGTATGGGGGCATAGGAGGGTGGAGGAACTTTTGGCAATGGCAACGATGACTAATGTCCTGTTGTGCCATATTCCAAAATTCTCAGCAAAATACTGCTACAAATAACTTCCTGATGTTCATGTAATTTGGGGAAACCGAAAAGAAAAGAGGCTGTCTGTAATGGTTAATTTTATGTGTCAACTTGACTGGGCCACAGAGTGCCCAGGCATTTGGTCAAATATGTTTCTGGGTGTGTCTGTGCTACAGTCTGGATCTTGAATCTCCTCCAAGGGCCCATGTGCTAAAGGTTTGGTCACCAGCCTGTGGCACTATTGGGAGGTGGTGGAACCTGTAAGAAGTGGGGCCTAGTGGGAGGAAGTTAGGTCATTAGGAGTGTGACCTTGAAGGGAATATTGGGATATTAGGACCCTAGCCCCTCATCTCCTTTTTTTTTAGGGGGTGGGGGTCCTAAGGATTGAACAATTGAACCTAGGGTGCTTTACCACTGAGCTACATGCCCAGCCTTTTTAATTTTTTATTTTGAGACAGGGTCTTGTTAAATTAGTGGGGCTGGCCTCTAACTTGAGATCCTTATGCCTCAGCCTCCTGAGTTGCTAGGAAGGCACATACCATGCACCCAGCACATACTATGCACCCAGTATTTAATCCTTAAAAGAGAAAAATTAGTCTCTAAAACCTGATGACACTCAAGTCATCAGTGTTCATAGTAATAGGCCTGTAGGCTACAAATAATGTAATTTTATGTTCTCAACTGAATCATAGAGGCTTGATTTTTTGGTAAAGAAACTGTTTTTGTATTATTGTGACTGCAGTGGTTGAACTCCTTTCTGCTAACTCACTACCCACATGCCACCGACTCATTTTTATGTTTTCTTGTGGTAACCTTTCTACTCTCTAAAAAAAGACTATATTTTGTTTGCTTTTATCTTCTGCAGTGGCTTGGAAAGGAGATATCTTATTTTAAATGGAATTAATTATCATCATTAGTTTTTGTTTTCATTCTTAAACCTATAATTACAAACCTGTCAATGTCTAGAACAACATAACACATCCCCCATGAAGATGGAGAATTTAACACAACCTCTTTCTCTGCCTACTCATTCTTTGTACCAGTCTTATTGTATTCTGGTTTAAAAGTTGTTTGTTTGGGGGCTGGGGTTGTAGCTCAATGGTAGAATGCTTGCCTAGCATGTGTGAGGCACTGGGTTTGATTCTCAGCACTGCATATAAACAAATAGAAAGTAATAAAGGTCTATCATGAAATAAAAAAAAAAATATTTTAAAAAAAGAAGAAAAAAGCTGTTTGTTTGTTTTGATACTGGGGCTTGAACCCAGGGATGCTTAACCACTGAGCCACATCCCCAGCCCTTTCTTGTTTTTATTTTGAGACAGAGTCTCATTAAATTGCTTGAATTTGCAATTCTCCTGCCTCAGCCTTCCAAGCTGAGGATTACAGGCATGCACTACCATACCTACTTCATGAATTTTCTCTATTGTGTTTGATGCTCAGTGTTTTCTGTGAGGAACAGTGAGCCTTTCCTCCCTCAGTCTATCACCCCACTTTCTTCCCAACCCTTCCTTATCCCAGTGCAGCCCTGAAGATGTGGGTTCTCTTCCAGGTGCCTCTCCTCCCATATCTTCCTCCTTTCCCTGCCACTGGGGGAAAACCTGCCCAACTTCCCTAAGTACCCCCATGGTAAGGACTGGGGTGGGTCACAGGGCAGCCATCAGGGTCCTGGCTTCACTTGTGGCAGCAGGAGGGAGGAGACAATCTGCTTTAAACAGACTGAACACATTTGTAGAACATGGTTCTGCCAGATGTGGGGTGATCTGCTGGCCCCTACTTTGTAAGAACTATGGTCTGGCAGATGGGGTGAGTGACAGTCATTATCAGGGTACATGATATAACCACACTGAGCCTTGGGTCCTGGGGGAGAAAAGAGGAAGGTGCCATGGGAACAGGGGTGGGTCATAGAAGGCCATGTGTGGAACTAAACCTTGCAGAGTGACAGGCATAAGCCTAATGTCGGGGAGAGAAAGGAAAGGGTATGCTATTGGGAGGGGACACCAAGGTCCTTGAGCTGTGGGAGGTGGTGAGAATTTTGTGTGCCTGGGGCCCAGCTGGGGACAGGAGGATAGGCGGGTGACAGGATGAAGATGCAGACATTCATCACTTAGGGGCACCTGTATGCTCAACTGAGACTGGTTGGATGTGGGAACTTAATTCCCCTAAGCTCCTGCTTCTGACTTCATATCAATGAATTGAAGCAGATGTTCTTAACCCTAACCTTCCTAGCCTTTCAATGTCAACTCAAGTTCTCTCTGAGTGAACCCTCACCGTGCTTCCCTCCAGGCTGCTGGGAAGGACCCCACCCGCTTCCTGTGGCTTGTCCAGTGTCTTTGCCTCCAAAGGCCCCACTGCTGCCTCAGCTAGGAATGTCCCTCTGGCCCTTTTGCACTTAGTTCATTCCTACTCATTCTGCAAAAGCTCCTCTGCTGCCCTTTGGCCTCCGTCCCTGTCCTTGCAGGCTGGCTGGGTAGAGCTCCTCTAGTCTGTCTCAATGTGGCGGGGCTGGATGCTCACCTAATGCCTTCTGTGGTGACTCTGGTGGGCATCTGGTAACTACCACAGGAGCAAACAGTGAAGTGCCCCAACGCTCCTACCTCTTTCCCTCTGTTGTCTACGTATTGCTTCTTTTGCTCTGTGTCTACCTTGTTACAGGGTCCCATTGCCCATCCTCCCAGATGCCTTTGCCATTGCATCAGCAGGTATTTGTGGGCTATGTCTTCATACACAGTCATGTTTACAGCTGACCATTCCCCATCATCAAATCTAGTAGTCCCTAAAACAAGCCCTTTTTCTAGCCCAACCCACTGACATACCTTCCCTAGTATTGCTCCCTAATTTATACCCATGTGTCCCCAAGCCCACACCCCTGGTCAATGGTCTATTCTTCTTCCCTGGTCATTCCTGAGTCTTAGGTCGACTCCTGTCCCACCTCAGAGCATGAACCTTCCCTGACCACTCCAGGTGATGGTGATTCCTCTCTGTATAGAGGATTTGCCAGGTACATCTGCACATGCCTGTAATCCCAGTGACTCAGGAGGCTCAAGCAAGAGGATCACAAGTTAGAGGTCAGCCTCAGCAATTTATCAAGACCCTTTCTCAATTAAGTCTAGGAATGTAATTAAGGGGTAGAGAGCCGCAGGTTCAATTCCCAGTACCAAAGTCAAAAACAAAACAAGAACTTGGCATGTCTCCCACTGGCCATGTCACTGGATATTCTCCATGGAGGGTCATTTCACATTCCCCTTTGTGCAGAATGCCTGAATTTGATGCTCAAATCAAAAACATTTGTTGAGATGGGAGCAAAATGAGGTAAAAAAATTCACATTAATGGGGAGAATTATTTTAGACAATAGAACTCTTGTCTGAATTATAGTAAGATGGATGTAAAAAAGAAAATATTTAATCAAATGGACCTTTTTATATAGGTTTAGGAGGAAACTTTTGTTTTTGACTTTGGTACTGGGAATTGAACCTGCGGCTCTCTACCCCTTAATTACATTCCTAGACTTAATTGAGAAAGGGTCTTGATAAATTGCTGAGGCTGACCTCTAACTTGTGATCCTCTTGCTTGAGCCTCCTGAGAGATGAAGGGGATTGGTCAAACTGATACTTCTATCTTAATTAAGGAATCTACATAGAAATTAAATCCTTGAAGATGAGACTGTCACTCTCCACTCTTTCTAAAATTTGCTACTCTAGGAATTTTGCAAAATGTTCTAAAATACAAGTTTGCATAAACTCTATTAAACCTGAAATAATGATAAAAGTTAAAAAAAATTGTTGAATGTGTACTGATGTGATCTCTATCTCCCGGTAAAGTTTTGGGTTTTTTTGTTTGTTTGTTTGTTTTTGATACTGGGGATTGAACCCAGGGTTCTTTACCACTGAGCGGCATCCCCAGTCCTTTTCTTTTTTTATTTTGAGACAGAGCCTTGCTAAGTGGTGGAGGCAGAGGCCTGAAATTTGGATCCTCCTCTTAGCCTCCTGAGTAGCTGGGATTGCAGGTATGCTCCACTGCACCTGGGCTGGTAAAGCTTCTTGAAGGCAGCAGTCATGTATTCTCCACTTTATGGTTGATATCATATCCCCAAAACTAGTGTTCCAGATGTATTTGTTTACTGACAGCTTGATACAACCAACCTGGTACCAGCCCCTCTAAGTGGATTGAATGCACACAAGCACACACACATTTGCACACATTGGGAGCATAGATCTTTTAAAGATCCCAGTATATATGTATGTCCCAGTAGCTCTCTGGAAATGATCAGGAGAACATTCAATGATGATGGGAAAGTTTTCTATTGGCACACAATATGGCAGCACCAGCCATGTGTGGCTATGGAACACCCACAGTGGGGCTGATATTAGTGAAGAACTGGATGCTTAATTGTATTTAATTTAAATTAATTAAATGTAGGCAGCTGCTGTGGATGGTACAGCTCTAGACTAACTCACCCTGTTTCAGCCTCTGCCCAACACTTGACCCTCTCCAGACTCCTGATCCCCTCCCACCTCTTCCCAGGGGTGCCCTCCATCTGCTCCTGCCCTGCTTGATTTGGACCTATTTTTCCACCTCAGCTTCCATGTTCTCAGACATTGTGTTTGACCTCTGGCCAAATAGTGCCTGGGAGGAAGAGATGTCCTGCTCTGGTCCACACTCTAATGTCCCCTCCAGCCTGGCTTCCCCAGTGGGAGAGGGGTAGAACCAACAGCCTACTAATGGCTTAGGAGCACGGAGGATATAGAACATTCTGGACTTGACTGATCACACAAATGACGTATCTCAGTGGATCATCTTCACCTGCTCTTAGAGGTGCCCTCTTGGGATGAGAGCAAGGTAAGGGTTTGATATATAGGTAGTTCTTGAGAAGAAGGCCATAGAATTGAGACACAGACTCAGGATGATTTCATCAAATTTTTCTTAGAGAACTGAATTAAATGAGGCCCATTTTAATGGAAAACAAAATAATCAGACAACATGGTGACATCCTTTGTGTGTTTACCATGGTACAACAAGGTTTTGTGAACCAGAACTAATCTCTTGGCTCTGGGAACTTCTTCCAAGCAGTCCAAAGGACATCCCAAACATGACACTTAAGACAATTCTTCATTACTCTGACAGTGACTTCTTGAAATGCTTGTGTAATAAATAAATAGAAAATATATCTTTGTTCATGGTGACACCTACAAGAAATGTTTACATACAGAACACACTATACATCCATCTCCCGAAAAAGGACCAGCTATTTCGGCAACAGGAAAAAGACAAGTATTTCAGAGGACTGCTTTTTTGTTTAAAGGCCTTAATCAATTGTAACACTTAGAAACAGAACAACAAAAACAATTTTCTATACAATAAGGAAATTTGCGCTATCAGGGAAACTCCTGGACATTGACTCTTGCTGAATGGTTTAGGAGAGAAAGTTTTATGTACAGGTCCTGTGCTATTGAACATATATACAACTCTGAGAACTTTCCAAAAGATTATTTTTTTAAATGAACTGAGCCAAAGACATTCAACATTCCTGGCCACCTGAAAGTGATCTTATCCTAAGTGGTTCACAGTGTGAGACCCTTGCTTGAAAGAGTTTGAAATTTCAACCAAACTGTAGACAGGAAGGGCATGAGGTCATTTTAACTCTACTGTCACTCATCCACCCAGAAGAGGCCCTTCCTTTGATTTTGGCCTTTGGAGTAGCCATGTCTTAAGAGGCAGGGTCCCATTGTCACCTCCCAGCAGCTGGAAGATCAGTTTAATAGGAATGATTCCTCTGGCAGTTGGCTCAACCTTGGGAGTGGGCTCTGGGACCAAGTCTCATGGATGCAACTGGGCAGAAAGAGTCAAGCAAGCCTGCCCTCTTTGAGGGAAAGAGTTAATGATTGGGGCAGGAAATGGGACAAAGGTAGTTTGTGAGACCCAGGGAGACCTTGGTGTCTCATGAGCAAGTATAGACCACAGATAAAGGTTTCCCTCATCTAGGGGCTCTCTGAGTTCTCTCCCAGGTGGGAAAGGGGGAGAGCAGGGTCTTGAGCAGTGGCTGAGAGACCCTGGGCTGGAGCCAACAGTTCTTCGGACCCCCCCACCTGCCTCACCAGAAACACGCTGTCACATCCTGAAGCCATCCACTGGGCTCCACCTGCAGAACTGCAGAAACAGGTAGCACCAAGAGGGTTCCTGCAGCCACCATGTGCCCAAGTGTGGTCTGGCGGGCAAGGGGGGGGGCAAGGTGCAGGCTGCAGGGACCACAATACCAGAAGTAGGGTAGGATTGTGTGTGCAGAGGAGCAGGAAAGAAATAGCTATGAGCTAAAGATCATTCTATTCTGATTATTTTCTTTCTTTCAAGGGATTTGTCCCCTTTCCAGAAGCTACTTCAGGAGTACTGGCGTCCTGGCTGGTTGTGGAGGCAATGTGGTATGGCACAAGTGCTAGGAGTGGGCTCCTGGGGTCCTGCCCTGTCTGCAGTTCTTTCCCATCTTAGAGCTTCATTTTCCCCAGCTGGGAGATAAAGGGTTGGACTAGATGGCTCCCAATGTCCTCCAGCTCTGAAGTTGCAGGCTTATTGACACATGACCTCTCTAGAGTCTCCTGAGTCATCTCAGTTCCCTGGAGGAAGTGCCAATGATTTCCTTGGAGTCATCAGGGGGCTGGCTAGGGACCAAATTCCACATGGCTCTTGGCATCACAAGCACAGACCATTCCTCCCTCTGACCATGGTTCTCTGTCACAAGTGGGTCAGGTAGCAGAAAGAAAAGAGTAACCCTTCATCAACCAGCTTCAGCAGGTGACGGCAGGAAGACTCCACCTCTGAAACACTACAGAGGCCAGCCTGCCTCTCTCCAGCAAAAGCCTTTGCCCTTCATTTCTGCAAGTGCTGCTGCCTCCTGGAGTGAGAGGCCTTCTGGACCCACCCAAGCAGATGCAAATATTCCCTTCTTTCAACTTTCATCACCTCATTTCACCTCTCTTGGGCTTCTTTGTTTGGAATCAGAGTGCACTTAGACCTGTGGCTGCTTGACTCACTTCCCTGAGCCCCTCTCCACAAGGTATGTTCTCACCACTCCATCCTGGGTGCCCCAGGCCACCCCATATCATGGAACTGGCTGAAAAGAATCATCTACCGCTGGGTTCTGGGTACAAAGTGAAAAGCCACAGTCTTCCTGAATCTTAGAACTGAATTGGCCTTTAAGAGTCACCTCGTCCAAGTACCAATGTGCCAAATCTCCTGAAAGTGGGACACCTCCAGAAGCAGGAATCGCTTCTTCCCAGGGGTAGCCAGCCCCATCTTGGGGAGCTCTGTTGACACACTAGCTCCTATTCCCATGAAGACTGGTCCTCGTTTACAGGAATAAAGATTTGCTTAAGATCGGGGCTCTTTCCCCTACTTCTGTCCCCTAACGCATCTGCTGGTGACCATGGGATCCATGAGTGATGCAACCTTCCAGATATCTACTGTGTGGGCAGGGCTCTGCCAAAGTGCAGTGTAGCTGCCAGCACAGCCCAGGGCTTCTCATATGGTCCCCACATCCCCACCAAAGAGGCACAGATAAGAGAGAAGCACCCAAGAGGCTGCAGGAAAGAGAAGACTTCCATCCTTGGCCAACACTGCCCGAGGGCTGCAGGTAGATGCTTGAGTGGGGGCAGGTAGCAGCACCAGGATTATCCAGTATCCTTCCCTTGCCCATCAGGGCTGATTCACAGCCTCCCAGGCAGCTGCTGGACAGGGGCTGGAAAGCCACCCATCCTGCCTCTGCTGCCCCGCCATTATAGTCTACCATGGGAGGCACCAGCGTGATAGCTGTTCTCACAGTTTCTTCTTCCTCAACACAGGGATGGGCACAACTTGGAAGATCTTGGCTGTGTGGTCCTCTGTCTCCAGAGTCACCCAGATGGGCCGGAAGGTGCCTTTGAAGCCAACAAATGCCATCTTTTCTGGAAAGCAAAGATGAGTCACATGAACAAAAATACTAGGAGAGAAGGGTCACACCCCACCCCTTCCTAGGGCTCCCTTTCACTACTCCCCTGTCCTGTTACCACTGGGCACTCCCTTCCTTGCCACACTTGACTATAACCTGCTGAGAAGAGCTCTGGACCCAGCTACTGGTAGCACCTGTTTTTTGATCATCTGGGGCACACAGGTCTCACTTGTACCTCACTGCCACCTTAGCAGGGTGGAGGCTCTGTTAGATATAGGACAGCCATGCACAGCAGGAAATAGGATACACTGGGAGTGAGGAATCTCCAGGAACCCTGCCTTCCTTCAAGCTGATCTGTGAGCACCAGCAAGTCCTGAATCCCAGTGTTCCAATCTGCCAAGTGATGGCATTTTTCTATAAAAGCTCTTCCTCAGCTCTTATCACTTGTGTAGCTTTAGAAGTGGACTATGTATCCAAGGTCACAAAATAAATCATGCAGCCCAGAGTAGAACTCCAGACTCCTGTACCCCATGTAACATTCTCTGTCTAGCATTTCCAAGCTTGACTCTACTAGGAGTCAGGAATCCATGTCTACGCTCAAGAATGGCCTGGTCTGGTCTGGCAGGTAGCACACATTTATCACCAATGAGCAAGAACCACTTGACTTGAATCATCTTACATACATGAGGTTTTTGCAACAGGGGTCTTAATTTAAAAGAGAGAAGCTGAAAAATAATTCTAGACTGGGCTATTAGGATGCTTTTCTTCCTCTGTGTTGTCTTCTGACTGCCGTGAAGGGCTTTCATTTTTCTGATTTTTCTTTGGTTGTTTCCTGGGATGAATATCCACGTGATGAGTTACTGGTTTTGCTGTCTTTTGTAGTCAGGATTGTGCAGTAGCTCAGAACCTAGCTCTGATTTAGAAAGGTTAGAATCTGTATCCTAATCCCATTTTCCCCCATTTTTATTGGTGCATTATAATTTGACATAATAGTGGAATTTGTTGTTACATATTTATACATGCACACAATATTACAATATAATTTGGTCAATTTCAGTCCCTAGTACTTCCCCTTTCCCTCTTCTTCCTCCTTCTGGTCTCTTTCCTCTACTCTGTAATTCTTGATTTCCTCATCTTAAATGGAAATAATAGTACCTCACTACTGAATGAGTGAGATAATTATGAAGCTTTATTTAGCAAGGTGCAAAACTGAGCTTAAATAATAACTGCAGTGATCACTGTCATCATGTCCCTTTCCTCACAATTTCCCAAGGACTTGCTCTGGATAATCTGTGGCAGGAGCATGCCACCTCTGTCCTGTTCAGCTCCATCATGCAGCACAGCCAGGAAGCCTATGCTAGGCTTCATCACAGAAGAGCTACGAGACCTTGGACAAGCCACATAGATTCTCTGGGCTTTAAAGTTCTTCATTCTCTTAGAAGACAAAGGAGAGTTTTGCCAACTACAAAAAATCTGTGACAATATTGGCAATAGCTAGAATGTTGAGGGAGATGGAGACTTTTTCAATCTGGATAATGGGAATTGTAGGAAAGTTAGGCAAAGCCACTTTCCTGGTGATACTTTCGTTGAATAAAGGACCACTCACAGGCTTAGGTGCAGGAGTGCACACCTATAATCCCAGCTACTGGGAGGCTGAGGCAGGAGGATTGCAAGTTCAAGATCTGACTGAGAAATTTCATAAAACCTTGTCTAGAAATCAAAAAGAGTTATATAGTTCAGAAGTAGCAAACCCTTGATATCAATCCCCAATACCACAAAAATAAATGAATAAATTTTTAAAAAAAGGCCACTTGCTGAGCACATGGGTGAAGAATTATAGCAATTATCTTTTAGTGCCTAGTCACAAGTTACAATAAATTTTCTGTCTCATAAGGATGTAAATAAGTGGCATCTTGCCTGTCCACTCCAGTAGACCCCTGGGAATAATGAGGATTCAGTTTAGAGGGAAAGAATGTTTTGGACTAAATAAGGGATAACATCAGCCTCCATGCTGGGCACTAATCTTTTTTGGTTCTGTTTAAACCCCAGTCTGGACCCTTACCTTTCAATTTGAGACCTTTGTCTGCCCCAAGCTTTTCCAGCACTCTGGTCCATGGACCTCTGGTGATGTATCTTCCCTTTGACACCATGAGAACTATGGAACTGAAGAAGAAGAGGTGATTAGGTGACTTAAACAAGAGAGAAAATTGGAGTCAGAGGTACCCGGGAGGGATGCTGGCTCACGAATGGTGGCACTGGGAGCATTGCCCAGGGGCCCAGCCAGGGATCTGAGAAGGGCAGCTTCTCCTGCATGCCGAGATGACAGGCTCTTTCCAAAGGGTGACGAACATCCTGAGTAGCCCTCCCACACATCTGGCCACAGCCAGTGCTCCTGGTCTTCTCAAGCCTAAATGCAGCTATGGCTTTTATATGTCTGTCCCCAAATAGGACAGAGTATGCATGTGGAGCTCAGCATCTGCGGCTGCTCCACCAGCACCTATGCTAGAGCTGGGCTCATGGTGGGACTGAATATGCTTTTTTTTTTTCATTTGAATGTTCTCCACCCTGTTTGGAGAGAACCAGATAGAAATATGGTAATGGAGAAAGTCAGAACAGGTAGAAGAAGCAAAAAGGGAATGAGAAAGAGGGAAGCATGGGAAGAGGAGGGGAGCATCTGTCAAGTATAAAACCATCCAGAGTTCCAAAATACTGGAGTCTTGGGGACCAGCTGCATCGGCATTACCTGGGAGCTCACTAGAATGCCACATCCACCCCCAGCTGACCATTAGGCCCCAAATCTGCATTTGAACAAGATCTCCAGAAGACTGTGTGCACTTAGGTCAAGAATCCCTGTGCTAAGAGATTTATCCTGGAACCCATGTTTCTTTTGGTGCCTTTAAAAAAATTATTATTAAGTTTTAGGTGAATACAATATCTTTATTTTACATTTATGTGGTGCTGAGGATTGAACCCAGTGCCTCGTGCATGCTAGGTGAGCACTCTACCACTGAGCCACAACCCCAGCCCTCTCTTTTGGTGCCTTCTTTGCATGGTCGTAGGCTTTATGTTGCCCAGAGCTACCCTCTTCTGAGCTGCAGGAAGAGTGTGACCCAGTCTGAGATCTTTCTGGAAAGATCACTGTGTAGTTGCCACATACTCAGATTGACCTCTTATGTTCATGTCACATCCCTCTCTTTTTTTTTTTTAATATTTATTTTCTAGTTGTCGTTGGACATAATACCTTTATTTTGTTTATTTTTATGTGGTGCTGAGGATTGAACCCAGAGCCTCACACATGCTAGAGCCTCACACTCTTCTGCTGAGCCACAACTCCAGCCCAACTTCCCTCTCTTTTCAGAAAAGATTTGCTTCTGTTTTGCAAATGGTGACATGGAATAAATAATTACAAAGTATCTGAGAGAACCTGCCAAAGGGGAACTGTGCCTGGGAGGGGCAGAGGACTGGAGCAATGGGTATGCCCAGCCTGAAGATCCCAACTTGTAAAAGTCCAACTCGGGAGCAAGGCGTCACTTCTTTCTGTTTTGGGTTGTACTTAGCCTCAAGTGCTAGAAAAACAGTCTCTATAGTGGGCAGGCTCAGACAGGGAAGTGAGCACCTCCTTCCAGAATAGAAAACAGGGCAAGAGATCTATGGGGCTTCCAGCTCTCATCTCAAAGGAGTTCTGTAAACACAGACCACAGTCCAGACATGGAAAAACTGTATGGGATTTTGGAACCCCTTGTTACCCCCATTTGTGTCCCAGTGGGAGCAGAAAAAAGCTGTTGAAAGGCAAAGGATTTGTGTGTGATAAGATCAGATGAAAAGGGAGCTGAGGATGCCTTGGGCTTTTTAAGATGGCTGGTGAGGGAATCCCACGGAAATTGGTGCAGTGAGGCCCCTTAAAGAGAGAGGGCTCATCTCAAACACATCCTTGGCAATGGATGCAGGCTCTGTTCCCAGAACATTTCCCTGTTGTTTAATTTCAGTACAAAAGCTAAGATCCCATGGCTGGGCTAAGATTTCCTGCTGGGGTGGGCTCTAATGAAGGTTATGGAGGTGACCTGGGTTAGCTCACAAGAGTGGGACAGGGAGACAGGTTTTCTTACTATCTAATATCACCCAGAATCCATCCTGCCTGCCCAGGTCAGGAATCTCTGCCTCTATGTAATCTTCATGGCCTCTCAGCCCCTGCATCAGCCAACAGAGTCTCCAATGAGGTGGAAAGGCAGAGGCAGCTCGCAGAGCCATTCTTGGTATTTTTGTTGTAAGCAGCTGCCCTTTTCTTTCCCTGGGCCCCTGGGGCCAGTGGTGGCCCTGTGGATAGGGGAGAAAGGGTGGGGCAGGCCTACATTGGGCCTGCAGCCATAGGAGGGAAGGACCTATCTTGCTTCTGCGGCTTCCCAGGAAGTCAGAGAGGGGTCAATGGTACCTAATTCCTGTCTAGGTACCCAGCCCCAGCCCAGGGCCTGGCTCATACTAGCCACAGTGTCCCCCCCAGGGAGGGACTTGGGCTGTTGCACAGGCTGAAAAGATCCTATTATGCCATTTCAAACAAAGCAGCTTTGCATTTTCATATCTTATTACCAGCTTCTGATTCCTATTTCATCTTAAGAAAAAGTTCTCTGACCAAAAAAAAAAAAAAAGGCATAAATATGTCTGATCTCTAGATGATAAATGTATTTTTTTCCCAAGTTGGTTAATCTTATCCTCTGTATAAATCTGCACATGAAGAAGATGAAATACTAAAGAAATATCAGATGAGAGAATGGAGAAGACATTATATGTGTTTAAGCAAAAATGTTATTCTGCATTATCTCAGTATCCATTCTACCCAGTGCCCATCACAGAGCATCTGGGAAGTGCATTTGGTTTCATTCATATGCTACTGTGTGGTATGTACCACACTAATAACTTAGACTTTCCTCTAGGTTGGGACTCCTGAGTTACTTCCACATCTACCTAACTAACCAGGGCCTGTGAGACATGGCACCAACAGCTCAAAGCCCATACTCTTGATGGACAACAGATGATTCTCCCATTCCTATGGTGAGTGAAACCAGGGGTTAACTACTGAGCTACATTCCTAGCCCTTTTTATTTCTTGAGACAGAGTCTCACTCAAACTTGCAATCCTCCTGCCGCAGTCTTTCAAGTTGCTAGAATTATAGACAGGTGCCACCACGCCCATCTGTGAGTCATGTAGGGAACTTTTAGTTGGATTGGAGGAGACTGAGGAGGTGATAGGTGTGTTAGATGCAGAAGGTGGCAAGGAAGTACTGAATAATTGCTCAGTAGAGGACACAGGTGATCCACATTTAAGATGCTCAGAGCAGCAGCCAATATAGAAAATGGGGAGATAGGAAGAGGAAGGCCTATTAGGAGACTGTGCCCATGGTATTGGTGACCAACAAGGAAGGGTTGGATAGACCAGTGGTAGAGGGCACTGTGGAGGGAACTGTCAGGGGATTGATAATCCAGGTGGCATTGACAGGGTACTATGTTAGGAATGAAGAGAGAAACTGAAGGAATAAAAGAGTCAAGTGCCAAGCCCAGATTCCAGATTGATGATGACAACGTAATCAAAACAGGGAAAACAGAAAGAATGGCTGGTTTGGAGATAAAAAAAATAGAAAGAGCCAGTGGGCAGATGCCTGTAACCCCTGGGACTCAGGAGGCCAAGGCAGGAGGAATACAAGTTCCAGGCCAGCTGGTGCAATTCAGCAAATCTGACACTCAAAATAAAACATAAAAAGCACTGGGGATGTAGCTTAGTGGTAGAGCACCCCTGGGTTCAATCTTTAATACAAAAAATAAAAAATAATTAAAAAGGATGAGGGCTGGGGATGTAGCTCAGCGGTAGAGCCCTTGCCTAGCATGCGTGCATGAGGCTCCAAGTTTAATCCACAGCACCACAAAAAAGAGAGGAAGGGAGGGAGGGAGGGGGAGAGAGAGAGAGAGAGAAAGAGAGAATTTAGTTCCACAGGGAATGTCCAGGTGGCAATCTCCAAGCAGTAGTTGGATAGAACATCTGGTGCTCAGGAAAGAGAGATCTAGGCTGGAGATACTCAGAAGCCACCAGCATTTAGATCTTATTGAAGGTGTGGGAGGGGATGAGATCATCACGGGAGAGTGTGTAGTAATGGGGAAGAAGGACAGGGAGCCTTCCCATTTGTAAGGGGGCAGGCCTGTCCTCCTCAGCCTGACCTACATTCCAACAACTCTGGCTTCAACATGAGCATTCACAGGCATGATGCTTTCCCAATCCAGCACCAGTGATCTGTGGGCCGACTGTCAGGACTCCCTGAGCTTTTCCAGACTGGGAACCATAATGAAAGGCTCAGTAAGAGGGATGGGGCCCCAGTCCATGGGTATGTTGTGCCACTAAAACAGTTTCAGAAACAGAGACATGGACTTACTTGTCAGGAAATGTTGCAATGTAATTGAAAAGCTGCCATGGAATGCCCTGCAGGATGGAGTTCCTGAAGCTCATGTGGCTCACCACGTGTCCTTGGCTCCCATCAATTACCACCACCTGGATGCCATCTTCCGAGCTAGGGTACTTCTTCCCATCCACCTGCGGAGCCAGAGCAATATGGGTTTGAGGTGGGACCCTGAAGGCAGCCAATACCTGGATTGCTCCTGCCTGGGGGGTTCCCATGCAAACCCTGAAGACAGATGTTGCCTATGTGGTTATTCAAGCCTTAAACCTCCTTAATTCCCTAGAGCCCTCTGTAGTGGGTTCAACAGTGGTCCCCAAGTGATAGGTCTACCTGGAGTTTGTGAAAGTGACCTTATATAGAAAATAGTGTCTTTCAAGACAGGTACAGTGGTTCATGCTGTAATTCCAGCCACTTGTGAGGCTGGGGCATGAGGATTGCAAGTTTGAGGCTAGCCTTAGCAATTTAGCAAGACCTGTCCCCAAATGAAAAATAAAAAGGGCTAGGGATGGGGTGAAGTGCTCCTGAGTTTAATCCCCAGTATCAAGAGGAGAAAAAAAGAAATAGTGTCTTTGTAGATGTATTAATTACATACACACACAACTTAGTATTAAAGATCTCAGGATGAAATTAATATCTAGGATTTCTAGGGTGGGTCCTTAATCCAATGATAGGTGTCCTTATTTTATTTTATGTTATTATTATTTTGGTACTAGGGATTGAATCCAAAGGCACTTTACCACTGGCTACATCCCCAGTCATTTTTTATGATTTATTTTGAGACAGGATTTCACTAAATTGCACAGACTGGCCTTGAGCTTGCCATCCTCCTGCCTCAGCCTCCCAAATTGCTAGGATTATAGGTGAGCACCACTGACCCAGTGATAAGGTGCCTTTATAAAGGCAGAGCAGGATGTGAGACTCAGACACCCAGGACAGAAAGTCTTGTGAAGACAGGGCAGAAGTTGGAATGATGTGCCTGTGAACCAAGGTTTGCCAAGGATCAGCAGCAGCACCGGACAGCATTTCCTTCAGCACCTGCAGAAGAAGCCAGCCCTTTCTAAGATTTCATACTTCTGACCTCCAGGACTGTGAGAGAGTAATTTGCTTTGCCTTAAGCTGCATGGGTCATGATAACTTATTTCAACAGCCCTAGAAAATGACATACTGCCTTTCATGGAGCTAATGAGGACCCCACAGGGATCAGCACTGCTTACTTCAATATAAGCAAAGTCGTTCCGAAGGTGGAAGAAGTGCTGCTTGGAACTTTCCATCTTCACCTCCAAAAAGTGGTCTTTTGTCTTCTGGAATACAAATACAACCCAAGATGTTATCAGATCTGAGTAGTTGTTCCCTCAGTGACCGCTGACCCCACAACAGGAAACAGTTCCTGGAGCAGGACATGTCTAGAGTGGAGCCTGACTGAGTTTGGGCCCACAGAGACAGAGGGTCCAGGCTGTCTTCCGCCACTCACCAGTTGAGCACTGAGAAGCTTCCTGGGCAGGGGCACGTCCACTACAGCCCTCTCTGCAAACCTGGGGTAGGCAGTGGCTGTGCAGTCACTCACACCTGCATTCTTGGGGATCAGAGCTTTGATCTTTATTCTCTCACAGCCTTTCATGGAGCAGAAGGCAAATTTGTCCCTCTCGTTCTGGGCTTTGAGCTTCAGGAACAGCAGCCTGCATATGGGAGGTATCACAGATGTTCATGTGGGCCTTCAGTACCTCCTCCCTACCCACAACATTTACCATGTCCTTGTCCCTGGGGTGAGACCTGGTTGGCCTTACAAAACAGACCCATGACTGCCAAATGATCATATGCAGTTGGAGAAATAAAAAGCAGGTACATTGAAGAAAAACTTGATAATGAGCGAGGCACAATGGCTCATGCCTGTAATCCCAGCTACTCAGGAAGCTGGGATGAGCAGGAAACAAAATGATCTCAAGTTCAAAGTCAGCCTGGAAAACTTAGAGAGACCCAGTCTCAAAATAAGAAATAAAAAGGTCTGGGAATGTACCTCAGTGATAGAACACCCCTGGGTGCTTATACTGAAACAAAAAAAAAAAAAGGAAAGAAAAAGAAACTAATAATGATGGCTATTATAGCATGCTCTATGCCATGCACATATTATAAGTTGATAAATGAACTTATTTAATCCTCAACCCTGTCCAATGCGTTCTGTTATCATCCAGACTTCCCAGAGGAGGAAACTGGCCCTGAGAAGTGAAGTGACTTGCCTAGGACGACACAGCTGGGGAGTGACAGAGCTGGAATTTTCCATTTCATCATTGTGTGTGATGAGGAAATGCTATCTCCCTTCCTAACACTCTTTTTTTCCCAAACCATAACTTATTCCAAAAATCATTTTAGAATTTATTTAAAATAATAATTATTGTAAAGGAAGCTGACCCAATATTACAGGGAGTCAGATTATGGCTAAGCCACATACTAACTTGGGATTCATTATCATTGTGCTTTTAGCTCAGAAAAATGCTTCCAGGCTGAGTCCCACATCAAAAGATGTGGTGTGGACACCTAGCACACAACTCTCTGCTGATTTCACTCTCTCTGAGACACTAAGCCCTGAGCATTGGGTTGTGCCGTGATGTCATGGCTCCCATCCCTCATCACACTATAGCTGGTCAGACCAGGGCACACAATGGACTTGCAGAGCAGCTGCTTATTGGCTACCTGATAACCAAGAAGAGTTTCTTCTTGTGAATTAGAATTAAAAGACCCAGTGGGTCTTTTAACTACTGGTTGGTCCGAACTGAAAGTCCACATGGACTGTGGCTGAGGTAGCCATCTTGTGCCATGTGCCTCCTGAGTAATCTGGAGAGGAAGGCTTGAGGCAAGAAGCAGATACAGAGGCTAAGCATGTGTGTGGGGGGGAAGTGCATGTATGAGAATGTGAGAAGGAGCCTTGATTTCCTCTCAGTGGGACCTCCATCTTCTTCCACATTTTTTAATTGGTGCATCATAGTTGTATATGATGATGGGATTTGTTGTTATACATTCATTCGAACACACAATATAAGAATATAATTTGGCCAATATCATTCCCCAGCACATCCACCCTCCTACTCGCTGGTGTTCTTCATTTGACTTGAGCTCACTAAGTGGCTTCATGATTCTAGACATTAACATCAATAAACTTTGTTTCTTGCATTAAGCGAGCCCTGAATAAAATAGAACCAGTAGCTATAGAGGTCTCAAGCTGGTGGGCTGGGAGTAGAGCCTGGACAGTATGCATTCCCTGCTCTGTCAGAAGGGAAGCTGAGGAGGCGGGGCAAGTTTCCTTTAAGGAGTTTAGGAGGAAGGCAGCTCAGGCTTCTCATGGTCACATCTTTTTTTTTTTTTTTTTTGTGGTGCTAGGGATTGATCCCAGGGCCTATAAGGCAAGCACTCTACCAACTGAGCTATATCCCCAGCCCTTCCATGGTCACATCCTACTGGGGCTCTCACACACCTCTGGAAACCATACCAGGGAACCAAGGGGCAGAAGTGGGATTGGCTCCCAGCTTTTGCACAAGATTTAGCAGCATTCAGAATACAGTAGATTGCCAGAATACAGCAGATTATCTGTTGCCAAAATATAACAGGGGATAAAGGGCTACATTGTTGCCAGAATACAGCAGATTATCTGAACTGGGAGGGACCTACAAGACCATCTAGCCCATGCTCCTTATTTTAAAGACGGCATTTGCCTTCTCTCATCCTGAATTGCAACTTGGATGTATTCTAGTTGGCAGACCTGAGCTGCAAGGCCCTGGGGGGCATAGAAGGAGCATGAACCCTGATGACAGTAAGCCCCTGGCCATGATCAGGTGATATTTGAGAGCAGCACTATCCATGGTACTTTCAGTACTAGGCTTGCTTATAATTTGGTAATAGCCCACTTAGGTGGCATCAAGCAAACTCAGTTGTTCAGAACACAGCTAAAACCACTTGAGTATTTTCTTAATCTTTAAAAACAGACAATCCACAGCATATATACTTCATACTTTGGAATCTCCTCCTTTTTAGCCTACTTATTTTCATTTCATCCCTAATTATAACAAGCTAGTAATCACATATCCCAGCCCATGATAGATTAGAAGATAGCTACTGAGAGTAGGTGCTCTGAATCTAGTAAGAAATAAAGAAGTTAGAAGGCAGAAAGATTAAACACAGTCCCAGGCATGAAAAAAAGTCCAAGTAATTGAACCCTTCCTCATAGGAAATACATCTCATTTTACCCAGATTATAGTCCCCAGGGACATCACTGATTTTTAAAGCATCATTTAATAAACAGTAGGCAAAATGATACTCTTAGCTACCCAAAACAAGGTTAAATTATGCAGCAAAACCTGCCTAAAGGTGACAAGGGGACAAATCATAGGTTTTAAAAACCTATGTTTTTGATCAGGAGCTACGGATGTGGCTCAGTGGTAGAGTGTGCCAGAAGCCATCCATGACCCATATGTGAACTGTGCATGAACTCAAATGATGTTGAAGCCATTAGGCAGGAAAGCCTGGTATCGAGAACTCCCAGCAGCAACCCTGCTGGTTTGAGAAGCCTGGTTTATGCGGCTTCCTACCCAGCTCCATCACAAGCCAGCATAGCATCGGAGATGGTGTGACCCGCTAGAGCCACACAGCCTCTTGGAGACGGGTGTGGCTTGCCAAAATGCCAGTCAACCTGTTTACTGCAAGACCCCTGCCACACCAGAGAAGCAAGACTCCTCCCGCTGAAATCTTATCCCTGCCTTTGATATACTCCTCCTATCAGGACTAGAAGACCTATCAGATGCTCTGCTTTATCTAGTTTCTAGCTCTATCTCTATTTCTTACTAATTATTTCAGACTTTTTTCTTCCCAGGCAACTCACATCTCCTGAGCAGGAACCTACCCTGGCAGGGTGCTAGTTATCCCACAATAAGAGTGCTTGCCTAGATTTCATGAGGCCTTGGTTTCCATCTCCAACACCAAAAAACCCAAATAACTCCAAAAGTTTGGATCAAAGACATTTGATTCATTTAGTGGCAGTTTCCACTGGAAAAAAACTCACATCTTTGGGGCATCTCATTTCCCACAATCTTAAAAGAAGAAGAAAATATGCATGGATGATGTCACAGGGACTCATTGACATTTGTTTTTTTAATGATAATACTTTCCGCTTGTGTGTGTGGGATATCTAATTCCAACTCCTCTAGCTTTTATATACAGGAATTTTTTTAGATACTCCTGGACCCATCCTTTGTCCACTTCTCATCTGATTGATGGGTTTGGGGCATATGGTTTGCCCCATCTACCCTTCTATACCCTAAATTTTGGGGGCTGGGCCTATGATTGTGTGGTACTGGCCCAGCCAGGTGGGTAAAACTGGGGACAGTGTTGGGAAGCTCTGTCCTCCAGTAGCTTCATCATCAGTAGAACAACTGAACAACTGAAGTGTCCTCTTCACCTGCTATCCGGTCTGCCCCACAGTTGCCTTGGAACTTATGCAGGAAAAGGGGGCATTATTTATTGTTTCTCAACCCCAACATTGTCCTTGTACTTCTGACCTTTAAAATTTAATTTAATTTTCCCTTCATTGAATGGATAGCTCTCTTAAAAAAAAAAAAACGCAACACCTGGTTTCTATTTACTTCTCATGGACTTTAAAATAAGAATAGAAAAATGGGCCAGGTGCAGTGGCTGGCACCTGTAATCCCAGCAACACAAGAGGCTGAGGTAGGAAGATTGCAAATTCAAGGCCAGTCTTGACAATTTAGCAAGACTGAAATTAAAAGGGCTGGGAGCTGGGGATGTAGCTAAGTGTTGGATCACCCCTGGGTTCAATCCCTAGTACCCTCCTCCCACAAAAGAGAATAGAAAAATATCCATAAATGACCTTTTTACCCTGGCTTGAGGGTTTCCGATCATCAGCTTCATCACATTGAAGATGTATTGACATTCTTATGTCACTAAACTAAATTTCCATTTAAGGAAAGGGACCAAATAGCTCCCTTGTTGCCATGAACAGATACTCTATTTCCATCATATTTCTGCTAAATAGAATCTAGGGTAGTTTAACAAAAGGCTGAGGGACTTTGGATACAGATGGTTGTAGGTTCAAATCCAGCCATGTTTGTGCTGAGATCTTGGAGTAAGTTACTCCTATTTTCTTTGTGTCTTCTTTGCCCATCTATAAATTAGGTATAATATCATTTGTCGTGACTGGGTGTTTTTTTTTTTTTTTTTAGAATAATGCATGTTTTTGTTTTTATTTGTAATTCAGATTTGATGCCTTCACTTTTTTTATGGGGGGGGGGTGGGTAAATTCCCTACAATCCACAGGTATATTTAATAGAGTATTTAGTTCTTTCCTAGACTTGACAGCTTTAGAAATATGTGCATGATACAGTCAGCCTTAGGATCAAAGCATATAGGAAGGGCTGGGGATATAGCTCAGTTGGTAGAATGCTTGCCTCACATGCACAAGGCCCTGGGTTCAACCCCCAGCACCAAAAAAAAAAAGCATATAGGAAAGTGTTCTGCATTAGCTGGCATTTACTACCTGGTTGTTTTTAGGATTATGGAAAGGCCAGGGGGACAAAATGAGAACGAGTCACTTCCCCACAGGCAGTGGGAGTCTCCTTACCCTGAGTCCTCATCCCAGTAGTAGTGGCTCCTGCCAGGATAGCTCTGCTCCACTTTGTCCATCTGTAAGGTCCTTACAAAGGTGCCCGTCTTAGATGTTTGCTTCAGCAGGCGATTATGAACATCCGAGAGAATGGAAAATGTGGTGCCTCGTGGGTAGCAGAGCCCCACTCGAATCCAGTCGCCCCTAGGACCAGAAGTAGAATCAGTTCCAAGCAAGGATGTCCAGGCCCTAGGGACCTGGGGTGCCCTCCAAGAGACACCAAAGAATTTTTGTATGGGAAATGTTGAGAAGATCTTGCTGTTGGTAATGGGTAATGACTGAGTCCCTGAGTGCTCAAGAGGAGAGGTAGAGGTGGCAGCTTCCAGTGAGCATGGAGGCCCACTGGAGTAGGCTGGCTGTGGGCTCCAAGGCCTGTGCTGGGGGTGCTCCCTATGGAACTTTGGTTGGGAAAGGCATTCTTTCAACTGGACTACAGTTCAAAGCACAGGACATGAGGGATCTAGGTTCATCCCCTTCCTGGTCAGGACCGTAGGGCCCATTTTATCTCTAGGTCTCATTTTTTGCATCAGATAAATATCTGTCTTACAAGGGTAGTGTGACAAGCAAATAATGCACAAAGAAAACACTTGAACTTAAACACAAAAAAGAGGATCCAGATGCCCTTGGCCTAGTCAGTTTCCCTCACAGATCTTCATTTCCCTCTCTGTGAATCAGCAACAGTAATATCTACTCATTTTTGCCATTTCTTGAGTGGTTGGTAATTGCAGATGCTGGGTGACATACCTGTTACACATTTATTATCTTACTACTTCTCTGAATTCTGGTGAGGTCATACAATCCCCACCCCACAAAGGTGAAGGAACTAAGGTTAGATGTCTTTCCAAGGTCACCCATGCTGAGTGGGGGCTCAACCTGTTTTTAACTCCTGAAGGATCTGAACCCTCCAATGCCTCCTGCAGGGATCACATTGGCTTAGCCTTGTCACCACTGTCTGTGCTCAGCTGGCACAGCCATCCCCAGGTCACCCACTCACTTGTTGAAATTGATGAGCCAGATGGCCAGCTCAGCAGGGGCCGTCTGGTCCCAGTGGATGGTGTAGCCCTTCTGCAAGGTAATGACTGGCTGATACTGCTGGTAATGGGTGCTCCTGGTGAGGGCCCCCTCCAGGTAAAGAGGATGGGTAGGGAAGTCATTCTTGATGATCTTCATTCGCAGGTTGCTGGTCTTGTAGGCCTGAATGTACATCTTTTAAAACCCAAAAAGGAAATGCACAAGGAGGCGATTACAAGGGATTATTCCAGGAGCAGCGTCTGGTTAACATCTGACTAAAGACAGCAGTTTCAAAAGCACTTTCTCTTCACAGAGCCCTTTTTAGAAGGCTTGAATGAAAGGAAGGCCAAATAAGGGGACATCTCTTTCTGCTGGGTGGATGCAGCCCAAGCAGGACTGTATAATCCAGCTAATGCTTTCTGTGCATCTTTAAAAAAAGTGCTCTGTTAAGTAGCACTTGGGGAGAGTTTGCTTAGTATTCAGATGACGTATTCTGGTAAAAGGAAGGACATGTGGAAGGAGAAATAAGGGCGAAAAGACTTTTCTAATTCTATTGAAAATGCAGCTGATGCTTAATTGACCGTTGCTCTGACTGTATTTGAGTGTGTTGCCCTACTTCTACCTCTGACTCTAGTGTCTGTCCCTTGTGGTCAGCCTATGTGCACGGGATGAGTGCATGGTGTCTCATTCAGAGAAAAACATTGAAAGCAATACTATCAGCCACTGAATCCCAGGGACCAGCCTTCGTTTAAAACATTGTCCTGTTTTATGTTAAGTCCCATATTTGTAGTGTGACATCCATTTTGGTTTAAATCTGGAATGTCCCACAAAAGCTCATGTGTTGAAGTCTTGGTCTCCAATGCAGATGTGTTCAGAACTGGAACTTTGGGGAAGTGACTGGATCATGAGGGCTCTGATCTCATCATTGGATTGATGGGTTCATAATTGAAGGGACTATTGGGAGGTGGTGGAAAATGTAGGAAATGGGGCCTCACTGGAGGAAGTAGGTCACTGGAGGCATGCTTTGGAAGGGTATTTCTTGTCCCCAGGCCCTTTTTCCCTGCTTCCTGTGTGTCACAATGTGAGTAACTTTCCTCTGCTACACTCTTCTGCTATTATGTTCTGCTTCACCTCAGGCCCAGAGCAATGGAGCCGGACAACCATGGACTGAAAAATGAGCCAAAATAAACCTTTCCACTTTTTAAGTTTTTTCTCAGGTATTTTATCACAGTGACAAAAAGTTGACTAACAACCTGTAAAGCTGTGGCTAAAAGAGACCATCACACAATGTATAATAAAGTTATGCCTTTGGAAAGAAAGGGTTTTCCCCTCTAGTTTTTATCACAGACAAAGATAGAGAAATTCCAACCCTGCCCACCTTATAGACTTGCCATGGACATCAAAAGGTAAAAGGTCTATTAAATATTTTTGTTTATTTGTGGTTCTGAGGATTAAACCCAGAACCTTATGCATGTTAGGTTAGTGCTCTACCATTGAGCTGCATCCCTAGCCCTTTTTGTTTTCTTATTTTGAGACAAGCCCTTGCTAAATTGCCTAGGCTGGCCTCAACTTTGTGATCCTCCTGCCTCAGCCTACCAAGTAGCTAGGATTACAAGCATGTACCACCATGCTTAGCTGTTAAAGCACGTTCTAAGCTATAACACGAAGATTATTAGTAATAATTATCCAGTAGCCAGTTATGATAACCCAGCAACCTCTGATAATCAGCCCTTTTCTTCAGAAGATAAGCAATGTATCAGAAAGACAGGGAGGGAAGGAAAAAGAAGGCCTCACATAGGATACCAAGTCTTTTTTTTCCCCCAGTCCTGGGAATTTAACCCAGGGGTGCTCTACCACTGAGTTATATTTTTTGCCCTTTTCACATTTTATTTTGAGACAGTCTTGCTAAGTTGCTGAGGCTAGCTTTGAACTTGTGATTCTCCTGCCTCAGCCTTTCAAGTGGCTAGGATTACAGTTGTGTGCTATAGTGCCCAGCACAACACCAAGTCTTAGCACAGTGATGCTGTTTATTGCCAAGAGTGTGGATACATGGTTGGAGGATTTGGTCATCCTTCAATTATCCAAGCCATGATTTCCATCTATCAGCTCCCCTCTGACTCTACCTCCCTTCTTATCCTCCTTAGACCAGCCCATCAACCACTCATTCCCATTAGCATCTTGGCCCTTGCCTTATCCACACATACAGCAGAATCCTTGCCCTGGATCATTCCACCTCTTCTCCCAGGGCTCTTGAGCACAGCTGAGAAAACCCCTTGGCCTGGGAGAGAGGTGCCTCTCAAATGCACCAGCTCTGATCTCCATCGGGTTTTCAACACCACCAGGCGCTCCTGCCCCATGACTCTTGCCAACATTTTCCACGCTCTTCAGCAGCTCTTCCACATCCCTCTTCTGCATCTTTATCACTCTCTGCAGGCCATCCTCCTTAGGCCCACTCCCTGAATTCTCAACACATGACCTCACTGTCTCCTGCAGAAAGAGACACTCTCCTTCCTGCCCCTGCCCCCTGCCCTTGCTTTCCTCTGGTCCCTCCTCTTGCTAATGCTAGCCCCTCCCACCTTTGGTACCTGCTTCCTCAGCTGCACCCTGTGCCTACTTTGCCTCTGTGACGCTTCCCCTCAGCCTGGCACTAACTCCCTCTGCTATCTCTCTTTACCCCCCAAACTGCATTTAGCTGTACTCTAAAGCCCCAATTCTTGACCTGTAGTGGCAATAAAAATGCTGGCCTTATTAGGAGGAGCCATGAGACAGCTCCTTCATTCATACACATCTACTTCCCCCCTGGACCACTCGCTACGCTTCCCCTCTTCATCTGAGAAATCTTCATTTTCTCAGGGTTCCCTCTTTATGCATTCATCAGTCATTCATCTAAATAATGGCAGTAATAATACCACAATAATGGCTAACTCATACTTATGGTCCTGCCCCATTCCTGGTGCTATCCAGACCTGCATTGTCCCCTACAGTAGCCACTGGCTTGGAAATAAGGCCAGTGTGGCTCAGGACTGGATTTTTAAATTTTATTTTAATTAATTTAAGCTTCAAAACCAAAGCAATGTAAAATATCTTTTTCCTATTAAACACAAGTTGATAGTTTTGGTGTGCCTACTTTTTATTTTGTTGCCAATTGACATTCTAAATGAGTGAGCTATAAATATAAAATAAATGTAGGGCTTTGAAGTCTTAGAACAGAAAAAAGTAAAGTATTTCATCAGTAATTTTATGTGGATTACATGTTGAGAGAGTATTTTTAGTATACTTATACAAACTATTATTAAATTAAATTTATTTTATTTCTTTATTTTTTTTCAATACTGGGAATTGAACCTAAGTGTGCTTTACCACAGACCTATATCTCCTCTGACCTTTTTTTCAACACAGGGTCCTGCTAACTTGTACAGGCTGACATGGAACTTGCAATCCTCCAGCCTCAGCTTCCCAAGTCACTGAGATTACCCGCATGTGCCGCTGCACCCAGCTTGCATTATATTTCTACTGCATAGGGCAGATGAGGCATTGATTTTATTTTCACCATCCGAAGTCACCTCTAAAATCTCATTAAGAAGGTTCAACTATTATCCCAATTTTACAGATGCAGAAGTTGGAGCATCAAGAGTAGAAGCAATTTGCTCACTGTCACATAGTAAGTGCTAGAGCCTTACTTGAATCCAAACATTTAACCCTAAATCTAAGCATTCTGCTACAAAGTGTTTCAATTTTGATTTTGTGAAAATCCTTCTAGGTGTGGGGAAAAATAAAAACGAAGAAATAAAAAGAAAAAAAAAAGAATTCTGTATCTCTTTTTGGCCCAACGCAAAGCTGGACATACTGCAGGCACTCACTGAGTATGTATTGCATGAGTGTGTGAGGGAGTGACCCACCCCAGGGGGCATTCCCACCTGTGCATAGCGCCCACTGCAGATGGCCCCTCTCCAGTCAGGAACATTGATGCAGTCTGGATGCCGGACCAGCCAGTTGTCATCCTTGGTGAGGTAGGAACCAGGGTACTCAGACACAGAGCCATCGACGTCATGGAATACGGATGTCTTATCCCCATCCATGTCCAGCTGGTTGAACCAGGGCCCAGGCTCTCCAAAGAACACTCTGGAAGTAATCTGAACAGATCCCAGGAAAATTAGGCTGGGCCAGAAGGTGAAGGGAAGCTATAGCCGTCATCAGGCCAGGGCGAAGTTTCCGATTTCCGCTGACATTACAAACCAGCCAAACCAAAGATGCTCTTGGGCACTGTAGGAAACCGCATGGCTGACCTCTGCTATGGAGCCGGAAGAACAGCCAAAGTTCACTATGCCTCACTCTCAGACCCAGCATGTAACTTTGGCTTCTGCTCACTGGAGGGCTGGTTGCCATGGTGACCTCGAGATGGGTCTGAACCCTAAGTCCAGCCTACAGTTCCTGCACAGATGGGAAGAGAGGAGGGGGACTAGCAATGAGAGAGAGAATATGTGTGTGTGTGTGTGTGTGAGAAGGGTGGGGACGGGATGGTGAATGTTTGTATAAGGATATGTACACACACGGGGTGTACGACGTGTATGTAAAGGTTGAGTGTGCTGTGTGGTGTGTTTCTGGGTCACAGTTCTGCAGCACAAGCCCTTCAAAATTTCAGCAATTCACCTCTTTCAAGCTCTCAGTGGCCTGAGTGAAGAAATTAAGTCACTTAAGTTTCACATCCTGCCAGTTGTCACTGGCAAACAGGAAGAGGCAGGAGCAGGGAAGAGGAGAAAGGGGGCAAGAAGGAAGAAGAAGGGAAGGGGAGGAGGGAAAGGCCTGGGAATCCATAACCCAAAGAAAATGTGCCATGAGATCTGGACCTGCCTGATGTCACTAGCAGCCCTGTTCTGATCTCCTCACCTTTTGCTCCTAGTTTGCTGGCTCTGCTATGGCCAGGAGGCCCCTGTTTACACTTTTCTCTCAGGGTGAGATTAAACAGGACATCTTTGGCAAAGACTTCCCTTGGAAACTGCTGGGGTTTAGATTATTTTTGCCAACTCAGGTGGTCTGGTCACCAGACCCAGGATGTCAAAGCCTTGGAGGAACAGCCTCAGAACCCTAACTAAGTCCATCCTACAGTTCCTGCTGAGGCATAAGTGGGTTCCAATCAGGGAGGGTGAGCGGGCACTTACCAAGACTTGACCCATGGGGTGACCTATGCTTGTACTTTTCCAGTTTGGAAACAGAACTAACTGGGACATGGCCCAGCCTACTTGGAGGAGGCTATTCAACCCCTGTGGTGGTGGCAACAGCTCAATCTCCAAGCCCTGGGGGACTTGTGAATCACCATCCAAAGTCTGGGTTGGTCAGGAGGCTGTCCTGGCACCTCACTTACCGGGACGTCCTCAAAGGCAATGTTGGTCACATTGTTGTGAGGGCAGCTCTGCCAGGCATTGTTTAGGCGGAAGGCCAGGGCACTGGTGTGCCGTCCCTCCAGGGCAGCAAACTTTCGGAAGGTGCAGTTCTGGATGTTGATGGGGCCATCGTAGAACTGGATTCCTCTAATTGGAAAATTCCTGTGGAGTTAGGAAGTCAGCCATCAGTTTGAATGCCATGTTTATCTCTTCTGAGGAGGGTGGCAGGAGAAACTTTCTGGGGAAAACCAGTCCTGGTCCCCACCCCCAGCAATTTCCCCAACCCCAAATCATTATTGATTCATTAATTAATCTACTGAGAAAGCATGTATTGACATAGCAAGTGTTAATGAATGATTGCTGGATGAATGACCAGGTGGACAGATGGATGGATGGATGGATGGATGGATGGGTGGATAAGAGGATAGATAGGTAGATGGATGGGTGGATGAGTGGATGGATGGACAGATTGATGGATGGATGGATGGGTGGGTGGGTGGATAGGTGAATGGGTAGATGATGGGTGGACAAATAAATATTCATCTAATTGCTGGCATGAGGCTTAGGGGAAGGCCCTCTATTCAAATATTTCCCCCAACTTTTCCATCATATGAAGAATCATTGGGTAAATACTATAAATGCTACTGGAGGGTGCCAATATTATATCCACTGGGAAGGGAGTACTGTTACTCATTAACGCCTTAGTTTTAGTTGCTATAACAATGTAATCAGATTAAGACTCAGAAGTTTCTCCTTGTGAATAAGCCTTTCAATTGGCAATGTGGCCTGGGAAATTGAGGGGAAAAGAAGACACAGAATGGAAGGTGATAAAAAAAATATTTGCAATGCAATCTTCCAAGCATCTCTAAAACAAAGACAGCCCTTGCTGAGAAGCAAGAGTGACAGAGGGTCCCAAGAAATCCTGACACCCAGAAGACAGGAGAAAGAATATGGGAAGGGCTGGAGAAGAACCAGACTTAGAAACTGCCTTGGCCTGGCAGGAGGAGGTTGCTCAGAGGTTGCTCCCATTTGCCTCAGACTCCTGAGCAGATTATACGGAGCCAGGGCCCACGAGGTACCAAATGGGCTTCCTGTGGCCTTTATTGGCACTTGGGCCTTCAAGTCTAGCATTGTGCTTATACTGGTGTCTCTTCCTTTGTGTTGGTAACTTTCTACAGGGAACATAAAAAAAGGGTGGGGAGAAGGAGTAGAAAACAGATATGGATCTGTTGCTTAGAAGACCACTATCCCATTTCCCAACTTGGGCCCCCTCCATTCCAACATGACTCTGGAAAAAAGTCCCTGATCACACCGATCTTTTCAACCCAACTTCAGTGGACACCACAAGCTCCTTGCATTTTTATGTGTTTACATTTATAACTTATTAATGCTATCACCTTGAATCCTGATTCTCATGGAGTGGTTCCATGCATTTTACCATTGAAGGTATTTTAGGGACAGCCCATTCTTGTAAGCTCTAAACTTAAATTATATATTACCTTTATCTTCAGACTCTAACCCAGTTCTATTCAGCATGAATCTACTGTGATTGGGACTGTACAGTCCCAGGTTCCTGCTTTGAAATGCAGTGTGAAGAACCTTTCTGAATCTGACAGAACCTTCAGACCATCTCTGGATTCAGCAGAACATTCCAGCCCTAGGAGGCTGGGAACTCTCTGCCATGAAATCCTTAATATGCAGACCCAGAGTCACTTATCAAAGTGATGGAAGGGACTGCTATATCTCTTATGTGAGACAGAAACAAGGACTTCTCATTAGCTCACATCCCAGGAGACCAGAATCAGCCTTTGCAAAGTCCCTTACAATATGCACCTCCACTCAGCTGGGACATCCTACGTCTGTATATATTTTGTGTCCTGACTCTAGCACAAGGGATTATATTTCCTTAGGGAAGAAACCACAGGGAGAAAAGCAGGGCTGATCTTATCACAGGGAACCCTGGGACAACAGCATTGCTGGTGAGCTAGAGTCTTCCTCTCTGGCTTGAATTCACATCTGGGCAGAAATAGCAACAGAAGGGGAGGGAATCCTCCCTGCTCACCCAGGCTGTGCTTTCCAAGGAACTGAGTACATTGCTCTGTTGCCTAGCCACCTAGTCATCATCCAACCTTCATTTGATCTCCTCCAGTTAGGAGCAACAGAGCTCCTGACTTTTCAGGACAATCCTGTTATTCTAATTGTTGAACAAATCTGACTGCTAGCAAAGTATTTCCTGACCTAAATCAGTTCTAACCCTCAAGCCCCTGGGAAAACTTGCCTTATCTCTTGTGGGCATGGCAGCACTAAGAATGTGTCTACCCAAGGATAATCCCATCTCCTGGTTGAAGATCCCAGTCTACATGAGGCATGGCTGTGGGTTTTGCCACCCTCCAATTTATTCTCCTGTAAGGGTGCTCTGTCACTTTTCCAACCTCAGAAATGAATAAAAGTCTCCAAGTGAGCCTCCTATTGGAGAAGACCAGGACCCACAGTCCCACATTGTGGAAATGGTATTCTCATTATCATAGACCAGGGCCATATTATGCGTTCTGATGGCCTTGCCATCCTGTTGATTCAAATTCAATGTTGTTGGCTTCTGTCTCCCTGATCCAGACTCCACCTCTTCATTGCTAGTCTCAATAATCTCAGTTATTTCTCTGGACAGAAAAATTCATAGTCAACAGAGCAAAATCACCCACAAATTTTTTCGTTCCATTGCTATCACTTAGGTTAAGCCACACAAAACCAAGTGACTATCAGTTGCAAACGTACTGGCCAATAGGGAGGGTTCTTCCACTGTGGTCCAAGCCTCCGGGGCCCCAGATCCTGTTGTCCATCATTTCCGTTCCCACGTTGCCACTCTCACCAACAAACAAGCTGTTCTTTATTTCCTGCTTGGAGCCATCATCATATGGGAATGTTCCACCACTGTAGAGAGAAAATGTTTGGGGTGAAAAGTCCAGAGACAAATTCCTATAAAGGACCAAGCACAAGGACAGTTGTTCTTACCTGGCCAGGGTCAGGCCAATGCCATTGTCAGCAAACCTGAGGACAAGAGCAGACAGTCAAGATGTGTTCCATGCTTAGCAAAGTCATGTACACAGTTTGACTTTGGAGAAGGAATTGCGATTCTGTACTCTGTAAAGTAAGGGGACAGTCTGAATCCACTCCCATTCTGTGTCTGACTCCAGAGAGAAAACAGTGACTCCAATAGTCTTACCTTCAGTAAGCCATGGGCAGGCTCAGTTTCATAAGTCTCCCTCCCCAGCCCACCATCTGCAATTGCAGGTCTAATAGGAGATTTAGCCAAGAGAACCTGGAGGACCTCACCACTCTCAGGGCCAGCACTGGGGACAGGTGAGTTATGTGACTTGCCATCCTTACTACTGTTTCAGCCACAGCAGCACAAAAACTAAATTCCTAGTTCCTGGAATTCAGACAGATGCTGGTTCTGAGAAAAGCATGAAGAAATTTTGCAATTGCACTGTGGTCACCTACTCTGCTGCTTTTTCACTCTGCCCTTTTTAAGTGTCCAGGTGAGCATGCTTCTGGAGGAAGTCTGGTCTCACCTGACAGATGATCATACAGGACCTGAGCTGAGTCTTGGGTCTATGCTGTCTTCAAGTCCTCCATCCTGAGGCAGATAGTTCTACTTTTCTGTTCCTTCCACCTGTCCTGGACATCCTGCCAGGCTCATTTTCTCAAAGTGCCATTGTCACCAATCATTCTCTGTTTCCTACACCTCCAGTGGCTTCATATCACCTACACATCCAAGCCCAAGTCTTACCCTTGCATTTAAGAGCCTAGTGAGTCCATGTTTCCTTCTGCTTTAGCATATTGAGCTGATTCTGGTGGCTTGAATGCTCTCTAGTTCCCAAGAGCACTTTATTTGTTTGTTTGTTTGTGTATTACTGAGTTGTGCATTTTTAATTTTTTCCATGCTTTTTTATTGGTGCATTATAGTTGTACATGATGGTGGGATTTGCTGTTACATATTTGTTCATGAGCACAATATAACAATATAATTTGGCCAAGATCACTCCTCAGTATTTCTCCTTTCTTTCCCCTCCTGCCTCCCTCTGGTCCTTTTCCTCTACTCCTTTTGATTTTCATGAGAGAACACTCCCCCTCACCTTTCTTTTGTTTTTTATTCTCTGGCTTCCACATATAAGAGAAAACATGCGACCCTTGACTAAATGCACTTTTTCATCCTCTGAGTACTTTATTTTAGGACACATGCATTCCCCCTCTTTGGAGATCCATCCAGTTCAAATCAATTATTCAAGGTCCATCTTCCAGAGCATCATATTTTCCAGTTCATTTCTAAAGCTTCTTGATTCTTGTCTCCCAGATGTGAACCAGCCCCTGAGCTTTTCCACATCGTCACCACCCACCCCCCTGCATTCCTGTAGTTCCCTCATTCTTTATTGTGTCCCCGGGAAAGACTAACAGCTTGCCTCTCCACCAAAATGCTGGTGATTCTATAATCAGTCACTCTTCCTACCTATGCTTCCAAAATTTGCAGCATTTTTACTATTTCACATACATCTCAAACTCAATAGGTTTAAAACAATGCAATGATCTTCTAGCAGACGTGCTCACCATTCCAAAGACTCAGTTTCAGCAAAATTCTCATTATTTATAATCCTTTCTCATTGGCATTATTGTGGTAATACCTCTGCTGGCTTTCCTACCTCCAGGAGAGCCCCCTCCCATCTGTGCCTCCATCCAGTGATCACCACAGTGACCTTCCTGAAAAGGCCACATTGACCAAATGCCCAAAGTTCTCAAAAGGGATCCCCATCTTCTGTCAGTCCCTGACCACATACACTGTGGGATTGCAGCCATCGTGCCAGTCCAGCACTGAGCTTCCTTAGAATGAGTCTGATGGAGCATTAGAAGAGACAGCCCCACAGGCAGAAGATCATGACCATTTTTCTTGCTGCCCCAAGTCTGGCATTTACTGTCTCTATAGGGAACCTAAACTCTGAAATGCCCAAGAAATCAGAACCAACAAATTCTCTGGACATTTGCAGAGAATTTCAGCATTGATGCCATCTAGTTTCTTTTCTACCAGGGCCTCCATCTGCCTCCTAAATAGTATCCTTCTCAAGTACCATTGGCTTCTGCTCTACAGCTAAGCAACTGATTTCATTGAATAGTATTCCATATTATAAGAAAGTTCTCACTTCTTCGGAACTGAAATATGCCCTCTAATGCCAGTTAGAATAAGCCTTCCCCCTCTTCTCCTAAATTCCTTCAAAAATTCAGATTGGCTCTCTTCTTTCCCTTCCCCTGTTTTAAAAATAAATGACTCCTCTTTCCTTATGAGTAGCAAAGTTCCCTCCATCTCTTGGCAGCAATCCTATCTCCCAGAACATCTTTCAGGGTGTGCTTGGTACTCATGCGTCTCCCAGCCTACAGTCAGCCTCTCCCCAGATTTCTGCTTTTCAAGGCAGCCTCTTTCCCTTCTTCTGTCAATTTAGTGTCTCTGTTTCCCTCTTTGCATGCTTTTTATTTCCTTTCATTCCCTTTGCCTTTATCTCCTATACAAAGTTTCTGACACTCTCCCCCATACACACACATACACCTTTTTTGTTACTGGGGATTGAACTCACAGGTGCTCAACCACTGGGCCACATCTTCAGCCCTTTTTATTCTTTATTTTGAGACAGATTCTCTCTAAGTTGCTCAGTTTTTATTATTTATTTTGAGACAGGGTCTCTAAGTTGCTTAGGGCCTTGCAACTTAGCTAAGGCTAGCCTCAAATTCACAATCCTTCTGCTTCAGCCTCTCAAGTGGCTCTGATCTCCCATTTTTATCACAAAAGTCAGACAAAGGGGCTGGAGTTGTAGCTCAATGGTAGAGCACTTGCTTAGTATGTGTGAGGTACTGGGTTCGATTCTCAGCACCACATAGAAATAAATACAATAAAAGTCCATCAACAATAATGAAAAAAATTTTTTTAAAAAGTCAAATGAAGAGAACACTTCATGATACTCCCACAAAATAAACTCCTGCTCAGCTGCTGTCCCTTTTGGTATTTGTCCAGTGTGACCAGTGGCTTTATATGGTGCCTTATCTCAGAACTCAATATTCTTGGCCCTTTTCACTGTGTCTTGGAAACCAACACCTTGGAGTGTTGAGTCCTGGTTTGATTATTTACTAGTTGTGTGATGTTGGGAAACTCATTAAACTGAGCCTAGATCACCATCTTTAAAATGGAGGTACTAATTTATATTCTTGAAAACCGTGGTAAGAAAGAAATCCAACAAAGGCTTTGGCATAGTGTAGGTGCCTTGAATATTCTGACTTTTTTCTTCTTCCATCTCTTAGTTGGCTGTCTGTGTGACCTTGAGAGAGTGAAGCCAGTGGCTATTCAGAGAAAAATCATGACTCCCAGCACCTGGCACTGTGGGTTGAAGGCAATATGCTGTTTTGGGGTTTTGTTTTTTGATTTCTTCTGGCCATTTCCTGCTGCTGTTCTAATGCTCCTACCTCTGGGAGACCAGAATGCCAAAGGCTGATGTGTCTTGTTTCCTTTCTCGGACTTGTTCATACTCCAGATGTGGGGAGGATGGTTCATGCCTCCTTTGTGCCAATGCTACACATCACTCACGACTCACCGGCAACTGTCCAGCCACACATCCCCACCACGAAGCCAGGCCCCATGGTCCTGGTTCTTGTAGGCTGTGAAGTACTTGATGATGGCTGGCTCCCGGGGCTTCAGCGGGTCAGCATCCTGGTGAGGGCTGTATCTGGAATACCATGGGACAGACACGGGGTGTTGAGAGGATCTGCTGTACTGACTCCCTCCTGGGCTCTGTGAGCTCCTCTGTACTCACGGAGCCAGACAGCACTGAATAAACACTGATCAGCATTGCCCGGGCTCTGGGGTGAACTTTCTGAGCCCATCACAGAGGCAAGCAGGTTTTTCTCCAGGGCCCAACTCCAAGCAGACGCAAACATCACTTTTTTCATCCATCAGCACCACTAAGAGCTGTCCCTTAAGTGAGATCAAATCACAGAGGAAAGTTCAGACATCCAGTGCCATCCAGGCATGCAATGCAGCCCCTGTGGCCTGGAAGGACAGTCTGTGACACTCAGCTCTCCCATTAACTAGTGGGCAACTTTGAACTAGTGCCTTATTTTGGCACTTCTTAGCTACAAAATGTAGTGCTGAGCCCGGTGCATATTGGTGCCTCGTGTCCTGTGGGCATTATCATGTTACTAGTGTTGCCCACTTTTGTTGGAGACCAAACAACTTAGACCTTTTATAGGGTACTGGTTTTGATAATGACCCTCAGGTTTTGGCAGCACCTTTTAAAAGTTGTCTCTGGCTTTCAGCTGAGCTCCAGGTTGACTTATAGGCATAATCTACATGTTTGTTTGTTTGTTTATTTTAAATTTACAGTGAAATTCTTCCCTTTTCTTTTTACTTTTTTTTAAATTCCAGCCCCAACTGCCATGCTCTGGCCATTCCTATTGACTTTCCAGGTATTGGCTTTGCTGAGGGATCTAGAAACTTCTAAGAATTTTCAATCTCCTTTTGCCTACTAGAGACTGACTCCTAATTCAGACTTCACCCTGCTCAGAGTTTTCACTGTGGTGCCTTCAGCAGTTAGTTCAATGCCCAGCCCATAGAAAGTTCTCAACAGGACTGATGAGGAAGAGATGAAGAAGAGAAGGGAGTTGGACTGAGGGGTCACTATGGAGGATGTGTCTTCCCAAGGGTCTGTTACCTGGCTGAGATGATAGATAGGAAGGGCCGCTTGTCCTTGGCAGAGGCCTCTGTGGTTTTGACTCCGTTGTCTATGATCATGCCAGCCTGGGGAGAGAGGACACATCAGCTGCTACTGCAGACCACAGGCATCTTGTCACATCCAGCCTATTACACCCTCCTGTATGTGCCAGTAAAACCATCATTTATGGGGCTGGGGATGTGGCTCAAGCGGTAGCGCGCTCGCCTGGCATGCGTGAGGCCCGGGTTCGATCCTCAGCACCACATACAAACAAAGATGTTGTGTCCGCCGAAAGCTAAAAAATAAATATTAAAAAAAAAAAAAAAATTCTAAAAACCATCATTTATGGAATAGAGGGTCTTCAGTGTACAGCAAAAAGAACATGCCTTGTTCTGTGTGACTCAGACCAAATATGGGGGGGAGGGAAGTGTCCTGTTTAAGGTGTAGATGAAGAAACTGAGTTCTAAAAAGTATCTTTTCCAAGGCCCCATAGTCAAATCCTTACACAGAATCCACACTTCTTTCTATAGTTATTATCCTGGGCCCCAAATCAAGGACTTAAGGTATGCATTCTTGTGATGTGAGTCAGATGATATAGAATTAGACTCCTAGATCTATTCTCAGGAATTAGGACTTTAGAAAAATCAACCCACCCATCTACTGCTAAATATACTGCTCTGAGAGTATATTTATTTATTTATTTATTTATTTATTTCTGTACTAGGAATTGGATTCAGGGGTGCTCTACCACTGAATTATATTCCCAGTCCTTTTTTTTTTTTTAATTTTGAGATAGCATCTTTCTTAATCCTCCTGATTACAGGCATGAGCCACTGTGCTTGGCCTACTCACCTCTTTAGTCTTTGTCATCTGCAAAATGAGTTAATAACAACTATTTCACAGCATGGCTATGAGGACGATTAAGATATACAGGAAAAGATACTTGGAAGAAGACCCACACACTGTGGTGTAGAGGCAAGGCTCACTAGTCATGAGCACCAATCAAGTTAATCCAGATGGAGGTCCTTTCCACTTCTTTCCCACCTGCCTCAGAGGATAAGACCAGCTATCACCCGAAGTCCCACCCACTATTTGCACCAGTGAGCCCTTGCCTATCCTCCCTTCTTCTTCCATCTCCTCTCCTTCTCAGCTTCCCCACACCTCCCAGGTACTATGTGGCCCATCTCCCCTGCTCACAGGGAAGCTTCTCAAGGGACCAGAGATTGACAGTTCCCCACAAGAAGCCAACTCATTCTCCACTTTATTCCCCTACTCCACCACCAGCAGCATTATGGCCTCAGCATGTGCCTCTGTATGGGTACAATGCTGACGCCCATGATAGCCTCAGAAATGCCCCACTGGAGACCTTGGGCAAATTCACCTCTATCAAGGTAGTGCTGTTCTCCTCCATATCACTACCTGTGGCCCCACGGAACTATCTTTCACCTTAGTCTCTGAGACATGCCACTGCAGGGGTCTCCCCTAGGTGTAAGCACAAGGCTGCTCTGAGAGTATATTGCCTTTTTGTTCTTCTCCTGATTAAACCTTTTATATATATATATATATATATATACTTTTTTTTTTTTTTTTTTTTGGACCCAGGATGTTTCCTCCTCTGTACCATTAGGAATTAGACCAGGACACCAGTTTAAGAATGTGCTGCCCCAGCATCCTTGAGACCACCTCTGCCCAGAGAGCAGTACCTCTGATCTCAGCCTCCCCCAAGCTCCATTGCTGTGTTCCATGCTCAGGTCTGAACTGCTATCCCACTTGGAGGTCAGCAGATGCAATATCCTAGTCATCTTGTCCCCCAACCTTTGCTTGATGCTTAAGAAATATTGAGAAGTGAATGAAGATATGGAGGAATATCTCGTTTCCTATATGCCTACTTAACTCTGTGTAGATCGAACAACCCATTACCCGAGCAACAGAACAAGAAGGGAATGGGTGAGGATGCTGATGCCACTTTTGGAATCATGTTGATTTTCCTTAGCTTATGGGTCAAGACTGACTTTTCATTGTAAATAACAGCAATCCCTGCAAATGAATCACAAAATCAAATTCAGGTGCTCAGCCTAGGGGCTTCCAGGAGAAGCTGCCCTCCCCTCAGCCAGAGTGAAGCTGCATCTTGCTCCTTTTGGCTAGGCCCAGAGGTTGTTGATGTCAATGCAGGGTCCACCATAGACTGTGGGATGTGGCAAGAGAACTTGGTGTGAAGCTGAGACCAGAGGTCTGCTCTGGGGACAGAGGTGGTCTCAAGGATGCTGATAAGCATATTGATAAGCCGATGTTCTGATCTAATTTTAATGGTACAGAATAGGAAACTGAAGCTCCTAGAAGGGAACGGCTATGCCTCAGGCCAAAAAGAAAAAAAATTTTTTAAGGCTCCCACCATAGGAAACTCTTATAAAGAATGGTCAGTGGCTAGCAGGCTTGGGAAACTGCTGTTTTCTTCCAGATTGGTGCTAAGAGTGCAGTTGTTTCAGCTCTAATCATCTGCAGACCCAGGAAGAGGACAGATACGCAGGCCAGGGAGGTGCTGTCTGAAAAGACTTACCCGGTAGTTGGAATGTGCTCGATTGTTATGGAATTTTCCCAGTGGAATGTGTTCTGAATAACCTGGGGAGTACATTCCCACAGAGGGGCCTGTCGGTACATGGTGAAAAATGAACCAAAATCCAGTTTCCTGTTGAGACAGAGCACAAGAAAGTCACATAGTTCAGCGTCAATAGGCAGCTGCTCAGGATGACCAAGTAGCCCCCACTGGGGTGGGTGTAATACTACGACCCCTTCTCCACTTGCCAACCAAGCAACTCCATGTGGCCCAGTGCTTGAAGGGAAACAGCAAAATATTTGAGGTAAGAGTAGCTTGTGGGGTCCACCCTGAATTAAAACTAACATTTATTCTACTCTATCTCTGAATTGCTGGGTTTCAGAGATACTACACAGGTTAAACTCCTCTTCCTGATGCACCAGGAAGTATTCTCAGCTTTTCCCTTCATTCTGCAGATATGGAAACTCCAGAGAGCACCAGTTGGGCCAGGGTCACAGGTATAGTAAGTCTGTATAGACAGAACACTGTGCTCACATCTGGCACACCATGTCCAGCTGTGTGTGCCCCTGGGCACCTAGTTCTCTCTGCCTTAGTTTCCTCCTCAATCAGATGGGAATAATAATCATATCTAGGCCACAGTGTGGATGCAAGAATCAGATTTCATTAACTTACAACAGTAACATGCCAGGCACCCTTCTAAGAAAAAATAATTTAACTCTAAGAACAAGTTATTACATATAAAGTGCTTAGTACTCATTATCTATGGTTACCAGGATTATGAAGTGACAGAGCTGTCATTGAAAACCAAGTCAAAGGACTCTCTGCCACCCACTGGCTAATTTTCTTCTTCACTCTAGCTAAGCCTGTCTGCACTAACAATTGGAGTTGGAACTCAAGAGCTCCATATTTCAGGGGCAGCCTCTGCCATCTCCATCTTACTTTCTGCCAAATGAAAGGGATTTCAGCTCACCTCTGATCCTGCAGCAGCACAGTTTATGAGGTTGTTGTTGGGGTTGGCCATCCAGAAGGTGGACACAGCACTGCAGAGAGGGGACAGAAATTGAATGGCATCACATAAAGGCCTGCTAACATTAATTCTGCTGCACCATGGACCCATACAGGAAACTTGAATATTAGTTTGAAGAGATTTAATAAATCATTTATTTGTCCATTTGAAACATTTTTTTTTCTTTTAATTAAAGGGCCACCTGTTTAAGAATATAAAATGTTCAGAAATTGAAAAGGGGAATGGCGCAGCCAGGTGTGGTGGTACACAACTATAATTCCATTGACTCAGGAAGCAGAGGCAAGAGGATGGTAAGTTTGAGCCCCAGTGTGGAAAACTTATCAAGTCTCTGTATCAAAATAAAAAATAAAAAAGGCTGGGGATGCAGCTCAAGTAGTAGAGTGCCCCTGGGTTCAATCCCCAGTACTGAAAAGACAAAAAAAAAAAAAAAAAAAAAGCCTCTTTAAGGTAAAAGTAGTTTGTGGTGAAGTCTAACACTGGATCTGTAAGAACCCAGGAAAGAAGCCATTTTTACAGGACAGGCCCCGGGCTTGGAAGGGTAGCTGCACAGGAAGCTCTATCTCTAACTCAGTCTACCATGACTGGAAAAGGATCAGTGAGGTTGGGATCAATGTGTACCACTGTGGGAGTCAAGATGGAAAGCCTTCCTTTCCACAAAGAAAGCTGTATGGCATCAAGTAAAGTGCATGGGTGAGAATAGTGGTTCTCTTTGGACAAAACTGCATGAGGCAAGCTGAGCAGAAAGAAAGAAGGGAGAAAACACACTCCTCCCTCCCCTCCAGGTTCTCAGTAGAAGGCAATTAATGTCTGCTCAGAAGCACTGAGGTGGGGAAATCAAGTGCTGAGCAGAAAGTGGAGAGAGCAGGTGTCACCGAGGGCGGCACAGGCCCCAGTGTGGCAGGAGCAAGGGAGGCACTCACTTGCAGTCCTGCCTGGGCTTGGGGATGTACCCTGGGTAGGAGTCCTCCGTGATTGTCTTGCACATCTTGCTGTCACGGTCAGAGGGAAGGAGGGTTCCAGACTTGACGAGGAGGCCAAGGCAGTGGTCAAAAGTGTTGCGTTCCTCTGGCCCATCTTCCGTGAAGAAGCAGTGGCCCAACGAATTATAGCCCACAACATCCTTGATCTGTAGGGGTTGAGGTGTGTGGAGGGGTCACTCAGCATCCAATTCTCATCTGCTCATGCATTTATTCAACAAAGAGTAAATATTATCAGCCATATACAGACCCCTATTGGGTGTTTGGAGGTGAATCTGATGCAAGTCCAGAGTCAGGAGAGGGAGGGGCAGAGGAATGAATAGTTTACTCCAGCTCAGGTGTTGGGGGTAAGGCTCCATGGAATACAAAAGGGGAAAAAATGTCAGAAGTGAGAAGGTGGGTCAAAAGGAGATTAGTCCTTGGAGCCTAGTCAAATGGGGACATGCTGAGGATATAACTTAGTATGGAGAGATTCACAGAGGAGACCTCACTGAGTAGGGGGTGGGGAGGGGCTTCCTCAGGGAGGCAGCAATGGAGCTGTACCAGGCTGACTGTTTATGAAGATCAGTGTTGATGCTTCTCACTGTGCCTGCAACCATGAACCCAAGCCAAGTTTTTAGCCCATGATACACCTTAAGCTACATCTGCAACTCCTGGGGTAAGAACCAGAAAGCATTGCCAACTCCAGCTCTTCAGTTGCCTTCTTGGAATCACAGCTGAGGGCCAAGTAGAAGGAGCATTTGAATAGATGTGAGAGACCAGGCATGTGATCTTCACAGTGTATCCAACAGCACAGGGATCTTAGACAAGTCTCCTGTCCCATGTTCAATTACTTATCCCTCTACAAAATTTAGGGCTTGAACTTCATGATCTATGAGTCTCCTTTGGGATCAGAATCCCTGGACCCAGAAGGGATTCTCAGAACTGAAAAGTTCTTAGAGGGTCCCTGGCCTGATCCCTAGTTCCCTGTCTAGTGCAGGACTCTGGTCTCAGCACACCTAAGGAATGGGTATCTGCTTCTGCTCAAACACCCCAGAGATGGAATGCTTGCTGCCTCACATGGTAGTGGGACAAAGGTAGATAACATCTCACTTATTTTGATTGAAATCTTCCAACCTTATTCCCAGCCCTGGGTGCTGAGTGCCCTAGGGATTCATCCAATGAGGAAGTCCCTACTTTCCTATGACCTTGATTCAACCCACACCTGTGAAGAATCTACCACTGTGTCAGGCACTGGAAAAGCCAAACACAGTCCAGAGACCACTTCACCCAACACATCCCAAGGGGCTGTTCTGCACATTGCAGGATGTTGAGTAGCATCTCTGACCTCTACCCACCAGATGCCAATAGAGTCCCCTCAGTTGTGTCAATCAACAGTGTCTGGAAAAACCAAAACTGACTGCCAAATATTCCACTGGATGGGAGGGGAAGGGTGACAACATTGTCCCTTACTAAGAAGCACGGATCTAGGGTAAACACCCTAATTCCTCCTGAAGTCTTTCACAAGACAGGTGCCTCTTTTCTAACTCACAGCAGCCATTCTTTGAAGGCTGCCAAGCCAAACCTCTTCATGTCTGAGCACTGCACTGGCCTGTTATACCTTTTCATCTTGCTGTAATCTTATACAAACCTGCAAATAGATTTTTTTTTAAAAGACATGAAGAAAATGAGGCTCAGAGAAGTTAAGTGATTTATGCAGGGTCACATTGCCCATGGGTACAAAGCCACAGCTGAAAGCTTGGTTTTGAATTATGTCCATTCACTCCATAAGGAAGGATCCAAGCACACAAGCCACCTTGTTCCAGGCAAATTCCCCATTCTTTTAAATAAGCTCCCTCCCTTAATCTTTGTCGATAGGCAAGGGTGTGATCTTGAATCCTATTCATTCCTTCAATAAGCATTTCAGTCAATTTCAATGACATCCAATGGGATTGCTTCCTTTTCTCCTAGTAAGCAATAAAAGTGTTATAAATAGCATGGAAAAAGAAGCTTGGGAGAAAAGGCAAGGAAACACGGGTTGCTCATGTTGGCAGGGACATCTGAGGTCAAGTTCAATGCTTTCACTTCTTGGAGGAAGACACTAATGCTCAGAGAAGAGACATGGAGTGTCTCAGGGAACTCAAAGTCCTCACAGTAGAGCAATGCTCAGACCCAGACCTTCCACCTCCTACCCGCTGCTCTTTTTAAATCCTACCTATCCTTGTGCCCCTACTATCTCTGTCCCATGCTGGGCAGTGCTTCTCTGAATGCAAGTGAATAATAAACTAGGTACAGCCTTCTAACAAATACCCTGTGAAGGAATTCCCTCCAAGACCCTTGAGATGTGCTATGGAGAAGAAAAACCCTCACTGACCAGAGGAAAAAAAATCACTATTATTTATTGGGTGTCAAATGTTTTGCACATGCTGTCTCATGTAAACCTTCTCACAACTACTATTTTACAAATGACACTGACATTTTAACAAGGGGGTCCAAGACACTTCTTTCACAAGGACAGAATTGGGACTTGATTCCCCATCTGTGATGGCATGACTTGTGTGCTAAGTGATAATCAACAGCGCCAGCAAGGAAAGCTTCTCAACATGGGCTCCATTTCCTTCTTCTCAGCTGGGAGCTGAAGATGCAAGTCTACTCAGCCTCTAACTTGCTGTGTGACTTGCCTGAGTGTTCCTTGTGTGCTAGGGGGACTTCTAAAGTTCTTTTTGGTTCTAACATTCTAGAATCATTCCTTCTTAGAACATTTCCCAGAATCAAATATTTAAACTGTGACATAGTTTGAGATGATTGGTGATGATAGAAAGAAGAGACTGCAGAAATCGTAGTTGAACAAACACAGTCCCTGTGTGCACTAACCAGAAGTAATATATAACTCCCTGCCATTCTCTTGTATTTTCCCTTTGTTCTTCTGAATGCTGAAGGCCAGAAGTCATAAAAGCAATTCCTAAAAGCTGTTTTAAGCCTTCAGCTGTTGTTAGGTGCTCTCTAGGCAGGAGATTGTGAAGGAGGAAATTCCCAAGCTCCGCCTGACAATCGAAACCACCATGAGGGATGGCTTCCATCTCTGTAGTGGGGCTCTTGATTTTATCATCTGAATAAGGACATTGTTGAGAGACAGGGATGTGCTATGGGAAGGTGAGCTGGGCTGTTCTGCACAAGTCAGGACATAGAGTCACCCCAGTGGGAAAGACTGCCACCAACTTGTACTGTAAGAAGAAGAAACTCCTGATTAAAACAAATACAAAATCAGAAATTAATTCTACAGTTGGCCCTCTGCAGAATCCATATCCATGGATTTAATCAACTTCAGATCAAAACATTTTTTAAAAAACAATGGTGTCTGTACTGAACATGTACAAATTTTTCCTCCTTGTCATTAGTCCCTAAACAATACAGAAAAACGCCTATTTACATGGTATGAGGTATTATGAGTAATCTAGAGATGATTTAAGGTATATGGGAGATTGCATGTAGATTACATGCAAATACTCTGCCATTTATCTAAGGCCCTTGGTCTCGGAGGGTTGGTACCCAAGGGGGGGTTGGTCCTGGATGCTGATGAAGGAGTATGTTTGATTCTGCCTTCTAGGGTACTTATGATATAATTTATATTAATGAGTAACTTAAGAATAACTACAGTCATGATAAAAACTGTAATTTCCAAGCTTCTGCCATTATCAAAAACATTTAGTTCTGAATTGCTGAAGAGAAGATTGCTTTGGAGTAGGGTGATGGGTCATTTGTTTTGCAGTATCTTAATGAGTTTTAGAATATGCAAACAGATATAATTTGAGAAAGAGAATGGAGAAGCAAAACACTCTGCCTAATAAGGTAAAGAATGAGTGTCTAGGAGAGGTAGGGAGAGGGCAGGACCAGGAGGAGGCAGCAAGAGCTCTACAAGGGGGAGAAGGGAGGGTGGCAGCCTGAAGGAAAACATTTGGCCTGAAGAGAGGCTGCAAAACAAAAAAGGGGACCCAGCTGGCCCATACCTGTAATCCCAGAGACTCAGGAGGCTGAGGCAGGAGAGATGTGCTATGGTCACAAGTTCAAGACCAGGCTGGGCAACTTAGCAAGACCTTGTCTTCAAAAAACAAATAAATTTAAAGGGCTGGGGATGTAGCTCAGTGGTAGAGCACACTTGGGTTCAATCCCCAGTACCGAGAGAGAGAGAGAGAGAGACAGAGAACAAAAAAGAAAGAAAAGAGGTTCCTATTATACTATTTCTGACTGTTGGTTCCTATGCCAATTTGTAGTAGGTCCCTCCTTCCCCCACTCTATTATCCCAATCTACCAAGGACCTTTGTTTGGGGAAAATCAAGGGCAAACATCTAAATTCCACATTTGAACTCAGGTGGGAAGGAGAGAAAAGAACAAATACATGACACGAGGGAGATGATGAAATCAAGAAACTAGAGAAGGGAGAAATCCAGGAAAAATGGAAGCCTCTCCCACAATCCTCAGAGTTTTGAGGTCATAGGCACGTGGGGCTCCAGCAGTCTTTAGTAGAATGGCAAAGGAAGGGTGTGTACCCGAAGATGTAGGGACTGACTGCTGTCTATATGCACAGTATCACTTGGAACTGTTTAGGTAACAACCCGCAAGGCCACATGTGCAGCCTCTTGGGGACATCTTGGTTTCAAACAGCTGGCTGCTATTGGAAGCATATATGTCAAAGATATATTTTGGGTAGTATACCAGGTGGGAAAGAAGAAAAGAATTTGTTTTCTTCTCCCATATACCCCTTCTTCTGCCTTAAAGAGAAAAGGAGGTGAAAATAAGCAGAACCCACACCAGAGTCTTTGCTGGCTTCTACAGAAGTCTTGGGATGGGTTCATAGTCTTCCAGGAAGGTATTAGGAAGGTGATTTCCCTGCACCCTGCTTAAGAACTCAGAATTATAATAAGACACACTTCCACCCCCCAGTCATCCAGCCTGCAGCTAATGTGCATTCAGCAGGTTGTTCCCGTATCGGCAGCATCTAGGAGCTTGGGCGCTCATTGCTGCCTATCAAAAAGGACACCACCAACCATGCCGTACCATGAGAAGTACTTCCCAAACTCTGTTCTACAAGGTGCCAATTTCGTGAGATGCAAAAGTGGCGTGAAAAAAAAGGGTTCTATGACTAAGTGAGCTCAGGCATCCTTAGAATAAT